TGCTTCTCTCTCATCAATGTTTCTAACTATTCCTCTCCCTTCCTCTCTGTAAAAAATCAATAAAATATATTTTTAAAAAAAGAAAGAAAGAAAGAAAAGAAAAGAAAGAAAAAAAACACTAATACCGAGGAAGATGCAAACACCTTGTTATAATTTGGGGGAAGAGAGAAAAAATATTCATACTCAAAAGTGCATAGAATTTGGCTCGCTCTTTGTTCAATTTCCAATTGGGTTAATGTAATCAGTCACTAAAGGGTAGATCCTGACAACAGTAGTTGCCTCCAAGGAGGGGAATGGAAAGTTGATTTTCAAGGAGAGGAGATTTTTTTAATTTATTTTTTTCCTTTCACTTATTGATTTTAGAGAGAGAAAGGGGGGAGAGAGAAAAACATTGATTTGTTCTATATATTTATGCATTCATTGACTGCTTCTTTTTTAAAATATGTTTTTATTGATTTTTAGAGAGAGTGGAATGGAGAGGGAAAGAGATAGAGATAGAGATAGAGATAGAGAGATAGAGAGAGAGAGAGAGAGAGACATCAATCAGCTGCCTCCTGCTCTGCAGCCCCCTACTAGGGATTGAGCCACAACCCAGGCATGTGCCCTGACTGGGGATCAAACCAGTGGCCTTTTGGTGCAGGGGCAATGCTCAACCAACTGAGCCACACCAGCCAGGGCTCAGTAGTTGCTTCTTGTATGTGTCCTGATGGGAGATTGAACCCACAACCTTGACCTATCAGGACGACACCCTAACCAACTGAGCTATCCGGTCAGAGCCAAAGAGACTTTTTTTTCTGTATACCCTGTTACACTTTCAATTTTGTATTTTAGACATATATTAGCTGACTACAAAAGAGGTTATTTCACAACACGGGAAAATATGTTATGGAGAATTTGCCTGCCACCCATTTCCCCACACACACCTTCCCAGGAAATCCTCAAACCTCCTTATTCGGAAAGGATTACAAAATCAGAAAGTCAACAGACTTGGGCCCGAGGCAATGAATTTTTGGCTGTTGTCCCTGGTGGTCCCTGCGCTTCTTGGTTTTTATGTTCCTAGTGACCTAGCGCCAACCTCAGGAAGCTTCGGTTGAGATGATTGACTACTGGTCTGACTGGAATTCAGAGCTGAGGGAGGGAGAGGTGGGATCTGATATCCTCTTGGTTGTATGTTGGACTGTCTGGTTCCATTATCGGAATCCTAATCCTGACTTGTGCGGGTGGTTCCCCTGCTATGTGCCGAAGGAGAGGAAGCTGCCAGGAAGATGCCAGGGGGACGGAGAAGCCGGGCTGACACAGAGGGCAGGCACATTTCCTTACCTTGCAGTAGATTTGTGAGCAGAAAGGGCCCGACATAATTGGTGGCAAAGGTGAGATCAAGACCCTCTGGGGTTAGTGTCCTGGGGATTCCTGGGAGGAAATGAAAACACATGAAGTGGATGATGTGCGATATATTGGGGTTCAATAGAAATGCCCTAGGAGCACGTATGTGCAAAGATGGGGCAATTAAATGTGAGGCTATGACTGAGGCGGGCTCTCTAGGGCTGTGTGAGAGTCAGGAGTGTTCCGCAGGGCGCACAGGTGAGGCTTTGGGGATGCCTGTTTTGTGGTCCCTGATCTAGGAAGGAGTCTCCTGAAATGTGTTTGGGGGAAGCACGTCAGGGCACATACCACAGACTGCAGCATTGTTAACCAGCAGATGTATCTCAGGACACTCTTGCAGGAGCCACCGGGCAAAGCTCCGGATGGAGGCCATGGAGCTCAGGTCTACCTCCCCAAGCAGAAGGCTGGCATCCTTTGTGGCTGCTTGGATCTCAGCCAGGGCTCGCTGTCCACGCTCTCGGCTACGGCAAGCAAGGACCACCCGGGCCCCACGGCGGGCCAGCTCCTGGGACACAACCTTTCCGATACCTGGGGGGGGGGGGGGGGGCAGCTTCAGAGCAGGCTAGTCTGGGAAGTGACTAGAGGGTAAAGGAGCAAGGGGGAGGGACAGAGGTGTTGACAGTGGGTGCTGCTTCTCCCCGCTGCCCTCCCTGGGAAGGCTGTTGGGGCTGAGGCCGCTCGTGAGGTGACAGGGTGGAAGGAGCACTCACCACTGTTGGCCCCAGTCACCACGGCCGTCTTCCCGGTTAGATCTGTGGGGCAGTGCTGCAGGTCCCAGAGCTGAGTCTTATGCCAGAGCCGCACACTTAGTCTAAGCAGGAAGACCAGAATGAGGAGGACAGAGCCAGGACCCCAGACCTGGGTGCTGAGTAGAGACCACAGTGGCATAGCAGATTACTGGCCTACCACCCAGAGTGGGAAGAGAATTTGAGAGAGCTAGTCAATGCTGAGTGGGCAGCAATAAGGCTGGTGTGGAGCCCAAGATGCAAAATTTAAGGAGGCACTCTCACATTTGCTCAAGCAACCCATCTGAACCCGAGAGAGAGTTCCTCCTTATAAATTGTGTGACCTGAGCACTTGATTGCCTCACCTCCAATCAAAAATTAACAGAAGGGCTTTCCCTGAGCCCTAAACCCTGCCAAGGCTCAAATCTGTCTCTGAGCCAAACTTGGATTTGCATCTAAAGTGAATTGACAGAGCTCCAGGGACTAGGGAAGCAAGAAATCAAATTCCTCATGTCTCGAATCACTTTATGCCCAAGCGGGGCCATTCCCTTGCTCCCCAACTGATAGGGAACTAAGTTCTCCCAACTGAGGTAGACCCCACTTGCAGCCGTTACATCTATCTGCTCTTTTGTGAGGAGAGAATGGTTCTCCAGAATTCTGCTGGAGAGTAGACTTGGCCCTGAAGCAGGGTCTCCTATGGGTGCAAATGGGTTTATTCCCTGGACCCAGTGTTCTATCTTCTTCTAGGCCTGCCAGGACCACTGCTCCTCTCCAGCTCTGTGAGAATACACATCTTTGGAAGAAACTGACAGAGATACCAGGCCAATTCTTAAGGCAACTCAGGTGTTTATTTTTGGCAAGCAGACGGAAGGAAGATAGGATCCCGCTGGCTGAGGTTCAGGGCTCAGAATGGGGCAGGATCTTGGAGGGGAGCGAACACACTTTGGAGGTTGAGTTCCTCATTAGCTGTGCCCTGGTCACCTGGGCTTCTGTCTGGATGGGCTGCAACTCAATGGGAGGAGAGGTGCAGCCTTTTTTGGCCTCCTGCCGGGGTGCGCCAGACCTGAGCAGCACCTGTGTGGTTGGGTTCCACATGCTCACACCGGGAGCCAGCTTCAAGGCTTCCGGCAGCAACACTGGCTGCCACATCACCTGGGACGTGGCCTTGAGGATTTGGGGTTCAAGATAAGACCACCTGTGAGGATCCTGGCCCTCCTGGTCCCGCCGGCCCTGCGGAGGTACGTGGCTACGGCCGGCCCACAGCTCTTCCAGCAACACCGCCTCCCTCTCCCAGCCCCTCGGCCACTTTGCACCTGGCCATGTGCAGGGGCTGGGGCTGCGGCTGCAGGCCATTTGGGAGACCTTCAGGTGCCTTTCAGGAAAGCGGCTCTCTGGGCCCGGTAAGAGCCCCTTTGACTGGGAGCCAGGTGATGATGGGCCTAAGCTTAAAGGGGGAAGTTGGGAGCCGGGGCGCAAAGTAGGGAAAGGACCGCTGTGAGGGAGAGGGCAGAAAGCTCGGCAACTGGAGTCATCAGCTTGGCATCTGGCCAGGGCCTCTGTCTTCTTGACCTGGGGGGGCCTGCGGTAGACTTCCAGGGGGCGTACCTCAGTGTCTGCATCCACAACCTCAACTTCTGGGCATACCCATTGGCTCGGCAGCACCGAGGGCTTGCGGCCCGGCCTACGGGGAAGTGTTCTCAGCTGTGAGCCCATGAACCAAGGCTGCTGGAAGGACTCGGAGGGGCCGAGTATGATGGGGTCCAAGGCAGCATGGGGCTTCTCACTCTTCTTGAACACCTGCTCACTTAGGTCCTCAGTAGAGGGCGGGTAATAGAAGTCCTCTAGTGAGAACTGGGAGCTGAGGGGCCGTGTGCTCTCTGCCGATTCCTGGGAGCTGGCTGCCAGGGACTGCTCCGGAGAAGAATGGGGGCTCCCAGAGGGAACTGTCACCACCACTTTCTCCACAGATGCTGACGGCTGTTGGAGGCTCATGTTCCTGGACCCTGCCGAAGGTGGGTGGCCTCCTTCCTGGTCTTCCAGTTCCTCTAAAGGATCCCTGGGGCCTGCCTCCTGAAATAGCTCTAAGACGGGTGGAGGGCTGAGAGTGTCTCTTGGCTTGGAGGATTCCATCTGCTCCTCACAGCCTCCATCCATCAACGATCTTTCTAGAGAAATCTGGTCGACGCTCCCATGGTCCTGGGGAAATGCGCCAGAGGTAGGGGTGGGAGGTAGATAGTGAGAGGTCAGAAAGGGGAGAGAGGAACTAAGGGTGGAGAAACTAAGGGTAGAGAGGCCGTAAGGAAAACGAAGGTGCATTGGGGGTAGGGGTGGGGGTCAGAGGGAGCTGGGGGCTTACTTCGCATCGGAAGAAGTCCTCCAGCTCCACCGAGGCCGGTGCGTGCATTAGGGGCACAGATCCCTGAGCCCAGGCATCCGTTGTGCTTGCCAAGGGCTCCTCGTCCTCTCCCCAGGTGGGGTCCTCAGCCACTGCAGACTCTCCCTCATCTCGAGCCAGGAAACGCCACTCGATGATCTGCAGCATGGCCTCCCGGGCCTGGCTGATGGTGAATGGGATGCACTGCAGAAGCGAGAGAGGGTCTCAGCCAGGCAGGAAGGGGTGGGAGAGGGGGTAGATGGGTTTGGGGGGCCGATCCCGGCTCACCTGCTGGGTCAAGTAGACTTTGAAGGCAGAGTCCATGACACGCCCCAGCAAATCTGCCAAGATGTCCCCCACCACGTCCTCGCCCTCCTCCACCATTGTGAGCGCCATCCACTCAGCCTCAGTGAGCCGCCCAGGAACGATGTCCACCTGGGGCACGGGCACCGTAGGCGGCCGTGCCTTTTCCGCCTTGGATCTGGTCGCCCCGCGATCTCGGGCCTGCCTCTGTGGGAAAGGAACAGGGCAATCAGGGCAGAAAACCGAGGAGGGGGAGAGAGAAGCAGCTACAGGCTCGGGGAAGCTTTCTCAATTGGTCTAGTACCGTGGTCGGCAAACTGCGGCTCGCGAGCCACATGCGGCTCTTCGGCCCCTTGAGTGTGGCTCTTCCTAAGCCTTGGGAGTACCCTAATTAAGTTAATAACAATGTACCACCTATATAGTGTTAGGTTTAAAAAATGTGGCTCTCAAAAGAAATTTCAATCGTTGTACTGTTGATATTTGGCTCCGTTGACTAATGAGTTTGCCGACCACTGGGCTAGTAGGAAGGAAAAGCCTTCTGAAAGGGATAATTTTCTAAGAAAGCCTACTGTGTGGCAGGTGCTTCTCAGGGGTTGGACCGAGCTAATTTAATTTTCACAACAGCTCACTGAGCCCATTTCACAGACGTAGAAACTGAAGCCTGACACAGTTAACCAGAACTTGCTTGGAATTCCACAATAAGCCCAGGCTGTATATGGCTCCAACTCCACAGTCCTTGCTATTTGCACTAGTCCAAAGTGTCCAAAGTTCTTGGGGGGTAAAGAATTTGAGATAGATGAGTCAATATGTGGGTGCTGGAATAATTGGTGCTGCTTAGAGTCTCCTCCTCCTCCCCAAATCAACTTAAATCCTTATTTCACAATATCCGTCTAAATAACTTCCAGATGGATTAAAGGACACACACACACACACACAAATAAAACAAAAATATAAACAAAATATAAAATGTAGGAAAAATAGGATAACTTGTCATATAATCTCTGGGTAAGAAAAAACTGTATATTCTTCAATAGCTTCCCTGTGGTGTGATTGTCAAATTGTCAAATTTTCCTGTACTTATTTTTATAAACTTTCCTAATTTGCAAGCTGATATTCGTAGTTATCATTTTCTGACACTTAGAGTATAATAGTTGCATACATCGTCTGGGCTCAATTCCTGCATTTTTTATACTACATATTTTTATTTCCATTTTACAGAATTTGCCCAGATCACACAACAAGGAAGTAGTGGAGTGATAATTTATATGCAAGTCTGACTCCAGAGCCTGACTTTATACTGCTTCTCAAACAAAAAATACAGGGTGGGGCAAAAGTAGGTTTACAGTACACGGAACATAGCTTATTCATGCATTATTTATTTACTATTGTATTATTTCCCATACAAACTGTAAACCTACTTTTGCTCCACCCTGCATTTGTAGCAAATATTAAAAATATTTATATTCCTAAATATATTAAAACTCATATAAAATAAGAATGTCTGGCCGGCATGGCTCAGTGGTTGAACATCCACCTATGAACCAGAGGTCCTGGTTCAATTTCCTATCAGGGCACATGCCCGGGTTGTGGGCTTGATCCCCAGTGTGGGTTGTGCAGGAGGCAGCCAATCAATGATTCTCTCTCATCATTGTTGTTTCTCCCTCCCTCTCTTCCTCTCTGAAAAATCAATAAAAATATTTTTTAAATAAATTAAATAAAATAAGAACAATCATAAACTCCAAAGATAATAATAGGCAAAGGACATAACATTTCACAAAAGTGGAATGGTAGTCCTGACCAGGTAGCCCACTTGGTTACCATAAGAGTTTACTTGAACCTGTCCCCATATGCCAAGGTTGTGGGTTCAATCCCCAGTCAGGACATATACAAGAATCAACCAATGAATGCATAAATATGGAACAACAAATCTCTCTCTCTCTCTCTCTCTCTCTCTCTCTCTCTTTCTCTCTCTCAAATAAATAAAAAAATAGTAGAACTGTAAATGACTAATAAATATTTGAAAACATGTCTAACCTTCAAAAATATTAATTATAGTTTTATCAATGCATTCAAATGTATAATCTAAAATTAAAATATATTCTTCAGCCCAGCCAGTGTAGCTCAGTGGTTGAGCATCGACCTATGAACCTGGAGGTCACAGTTTGATTCCCGTTCAGGGCACATGCTCGGGTTGCAGATTCAATCCCCAGTGTGGGCATGCAGGAGACAGTCGATCAATAATTCTCTCTAATCATTGACGTTTCTATCTCTCCCTCTCCCTTCCTCTCTGAAATCAATATATATATAATATATATGCAATATATATAATATAATATATATATTTATTTATTCTTCAACAGATTCCCTGTGGTGTGATTTATAATAGCAGAATATTGAACACATATGTCTAACAAAAAGAGAATAGATGGCTAATTGTGTACTATCTACATGATGCAATATTATACAATGATTAAAGGTAATCTTTAGGAAGAATTTGCAAAAGCATAGAAAAATACTTTTTTTTATTAAAATATATTTTATTGATTTTTTACAGAGAGGAAGGGAGAGAGACAGAGAGTTAGAAACATCGATCAGCTGCTTCCTGCACATCTCCCACTGGGGATGTGCCCGCAACCCAGGTACATGCCCCCGACCGGAATCGAACCGGGACCCTTCAGTCCGCAGGCCAACGCTCCATCCACTGAGCCAAACCGGTTTCGGCTAGAAAAATACTTAAGATTTAATGTTAAATGAAAGAACAAGTATGATCTCAGATAATATAAACCTGTATGTGTTGAAGAAAAAGAAAACACCAAAATTGTAACAGTGGGTATGTTTCTTTCCTATGCTCTTCTCTATTTTATAAGCTCAGGGAGATAGATAGCAAAAATCCAATTAGTGTCATTTGTGTCAACCACACCTAAGGACAGTTGAAGTTAAGGGAATAAATCTCCTTTTGGTTCATCAGCATGAAGCTGATAAATATTCTATTGCATGCCTCCTCTAAGACCTCCCCTAAACTCCCAGCTTTTATTTTTATTTATTTTTATATATTGTTTATTGATTTCAGAGAGGAAGGGAGAGGGAAAGAGAGAAACATCAATGATGAGAGAGAATCATCAATTGGCTGCCTCCTGCATGCCTTCCACTGGGGTTCGAGCCTGCAACCCTGGCATGTGCCCTGAACAGGAATCGAACTGTGACCTCTTGGTTCATTGGTCGAATGCTCAACCACTGAGCCACACCGACCAGGCTATTTTTTAAACTTATCTTTATTGTTGAAAACATTACAGATGTCTCCTTTAAACTCCCAGTCTTTGAAACCCTCAAGGCAAAAGACCCAGGGCACTCTCTCCCTCCTGGGAGTAGGCCCATGCCTCTCTTCCCTCTCAGGTGTACCTCTCCTAAACTCTAAGGGTCCTCACGAGACTTGCAACCAGGGGAGCAATGGGCAGCAGTAGAAAAGAAAAAAATCTACTTAAAAAGATAAAGATGCCCAGCCAGCATGGCTCAGTGGTTGAGCTTGGCCTATGAACCAGGAGGTCAACGTTCAATTCCCAGGCAGAGCACATGCCCAGGTTGCAGGCTTGATTCCCAGTGGGAGGCATGCAGGAGGTAGCCAATCCATGATTCTCTCTCATCATTGATGTTTCTCTCTCCCTCTTCCTTCCTCTCTGAAATCAATAAAAATATATTTAGTTTTTAAAAAGATAAAGACTAGGTCCCAAGTTAATTTCAGGACATAGGAATTTACTAGTAGATTCCTGGGAGCCTCCTCACTTCCCCATAAGAGTCTACTTGAACCTGATTCCCTCCAAAATTTACCTCCAGATGGAATTTCTCAAACCTTAGCTTCCTCACCCCCAACCTCACTGATACCTGATGTTCCCTAAAATTCTCCCTCAGATCTGATGTTTTCTAAACTTCACACGGGACTCAAAATCCCTTAAGCCTCATTTCCCCACTCTGCTAGTGAGAACAGCCCTCGTGGCAAACCTTAGAGAAGAGCCCAAAGACCAGTTCAAGCCAGCGCAGGCCAGGTAGGGCTGGGCGAGGAGAGTCGGTTCTCTAGACTTCCCCTCCAAGCTTCTCTCTTTTTAAAAATATATTTTTTTATTGATTTCAAAGAGGAAGGGAGAGGAAGAGAGATAGAAACCGGCTGCCTCCTGACGCCCCCTACTGGGGAATTAGCCCACAACATGAGCATGTGCCCTTGATCGGAATCGAACCTGTGACCCGTTCAGTCCACAGGCCGATGCTCTATCCGCTAAGCCAAACCGGCTAGGGCTCAGAGCCTCTCTTGTGCCTAGACGTGGGCTGACCAGAGGGGCCTGGGATATTGTTACACAAAGGTTCTTCAAATGTTTTATTTTAAATTATCTTGTTTTAAAACAATTTGATTTTCAAGTGCAGCCACAAGATTGTTGTTATTTAATCCATTTCTTCCTCCTGAAACTCTGGAAATGGATAATTTATCTAGCAACTCCTCTCCCCAATCCCTGGCCAATTCTCGTTAATCCATTTAAATGGGTACCTCAGTGCAAGAGACGTATTACATCCATTAGCTGTTTCCCAAAGTAATTTTTTGCTCTTGGACTCTGCACCTCATTCGATCTTTTCCCTCAGCTTCCGATTGTGACAAAGCATGTGAGTGGGCATAGGTTTTTTTGGCGCACGGTCATCTTGAACGCTGGCGTGCTGGGCGGGCACCGGGTATCGCGGGGCTGGTCCACGGTTCCCGACACCGACCTTAAAAGACCGATCCCGGCTCTGGCGCACCCGCAGCTGAGCTGAAGCTTACCGAGCTTTCGTGTGCCATCGCTGCCTCTGTCTTCAGCCTCGAGGTTTCTACGGCTCCCTGCGCCCCGGCGGCCGCCGCCGCCTAACGGTCGCCCCGGCAACCACGCTGTGCGCTGGTTGGCTCGCCCTGTCCACAGTTACCCCGGCAACCGCGCCGCGCGCCGCAGGTTCCGGTGGTTCGCCCCGCCCATCGGCCTGCGTAAGTGCGTCGTCTCTATGGTGGCGGCGGATTCGGAGGGACCTAGCGATCCTGGAGTCAGGCAAGCCGACCAGGGGCTACTGGTGTGACCTCTAACCCGCGCATGGGGCTTCGGGGAGCCGAACCGAGGGTGGAAGGGCCTGGAGACCACCCTGCCTTAACCGGCCTTGGCTCGGGCGCTGGGGGCCACCGGGTCCTGTGCCATCACCATTCCTCCTCTAGGGTTCCCCCATCGTCCATGACTCAGCCCTGGGGCTCCACTCTCTCCCTCTGTGAGACCCACCCCCATGCCAGACCCCCCATCACCGTCCTCTGGGGCCCCCCATTACATCATGACCCAGTCTCGGGGGTCTCCCCCAGTGTCTTATGACAGCACCCGCCACCCTCCGGGAGGAATCATTGCTGTCTTCTGTTTAGCCCTGAGCTTTTGGTGATTGGAGCGTCTCTCCCCTAGGATGTTCCGCCGGCAGCGTTCCATCCCTCTTCGAGGCTCGGCTGCCGCCCTGTGCAACAACCTCAGTGTGCTGCACCTGCCGGTCTGCAACCTCACACATTTTGGGGTAGTGCATGGACCCAGCGCCCAGCTTCTCAGCGTTGCTCCTGAGGGTGTGCCCTTGGCCCAGCGCCAGCTCCACGCTAAGGAGGGAGCTGGAGTGAGCTCCCCACTTATCACCCAGGTGAGGAATGAGGTTGGAAGTGGTGTTGCTGAACCCAGTCCTAACCCCGCCCTTTCCTCTCCAAACCTCAAGGAATAGGCCTTCCCTAACCCTCTGAATTTCTGCTCTTCTGAGTCCTCATGTCTCCTGCTGACCACTTGTCCCTACTCTAATCCACCTCCCTCCAGGTCCACTGGTGTGCCCTCCCCTTTCGGGTATTGCTGGTGCTCACCTCACATCGAGGAATACAGGTAAGAGGAGGACCTTCCTGCCCTCTCCGACCAGAGTCTTCTCAACGCCTCTGCAAGGACCCACGCCCTTCCGCACTTGCCTCTAATCACTCCCAAGCTTTACACATGCTCAGCCCACTCTTCCTTACTTCTCATCTTCATTCCTTCCATCTTTTTAAATGCTTTTTATTTTTTGAAACTCTTATAAGAGTTTGAGCCAAACTTACAGCATAAGCCAGGGAGCAAGATCTCAAATGTTCTCACTCCTTCCATCTTTTTAAATTCCCAAGTGCCACCCTAGCTGGGTTGGCTCAGTGGATAGAGCGTTGGTCTGCGGACTGAAGGGTCCCAGGTTCGATTCAGGTCAAGGGCACATGCTGGGGTTGCGGCTTGATCCCCGATCCCCGGTAGGGGTTGTGCAGGAGGCAATCAGTGATTCTCTCTCATCATTGATGTTTCTCTCTCTCTCTCCCTTCTCTGTGAAAATTATAAAAAATTAAAAAATGTCCAAGTACCCTCTCCAATATCTGCCCCTTTGCTGGCTGTATGACCTTGGGCAATTTAATTTATCAGAGCCTCTGTCCTCCTCTGTAAAGTACCTACCTGCCAGAGTTGTTTTGAGGGTTCAGTGGGCTAAGGCTAACATGAGTATAGGACAGTGATCGGCAAACTGAGGCTCGCGAACCACATGCAGCTCTTTGGCCCCTTGAGTGTGGCTCTTCCACAAAATACCGACTTCTGCGCATGGGCCACAAAGTTTCATTCGCACTGTATATGCGCTCCCGCACGTGGTATTTTGTGGAAGAGCCACACTCAAGGGGCCAAAGAGCTGCATGTGGTCTGGTATAGGACATAACTGCCCTTGTCCCTCCAGATGTATGAGTCTGACGGCTCCGTCATGGTCTATTGGCACGCGCTGGACTCCAGAGATGCCTCTCCAGGTACCTGCAGGACTGAGTTGGGTGTGGGTAGGGCGTGTTTGCTGGGGCTGGAAGAAGCACTATTTCTAATAGTTTTCCCCTCTCATACTCAGTACAGGCTATGTTTGCCCGAGGAATTGCTTCCTGTGGCCATTTCATCTGTGTAGGTGAGAGGCCCGAGGGCAGGGCATTGGTGTGTATGTGTGGGGGCGGGGGGGGGGGGGGGGGGGGTCCCTCAGCCTGGCCTGTGCTGGGGTATAAAGGTGTGGGCTTTGGTCTGGAAGATGCTGCAGGTCTGAGGAAATTGTGGAGGGTTCAAGGGAAGGGTGGAAGTGAAGGGGGCAGAGACTCCAAAGAGCCATGGACGGGTTCAGAGGGGCAGGGTGAGGGAGAATAAGGGTAGTCATGGAGGGGCAGGACTGTTGGGGCAGTGAGAGATGGGTTTGTTACTAAGGCTCTGGGACGGAGGGAGTTCTGAGTGTGGTGGCCGGAGACGCAGGAGGACTAGGACACACTGCTTTTGTAGGAATGTGGTCAGGCCGGGTACTGGTATTTGACATACCAGCCAAAGGTCCCAACATTGTACTGAGTGAAGAGCTGGCGGGGCATCCGACGTCAGTCACAGACATCGCCAGCGAGCCTGCCCAGGAACAGGTGAGTGAAAGCCCCTTCTCATTCCCGTGAGCCTGGGGTCCTTCCCCACCTTGGGAGGCAGGAGACCTGAATGCAAGTCTTGGCTCTGCCACTAAGCAGCTGGATGACTTTGGGCAAACTGCTGCACTTTCCTAGGCTTCAGCACCTCAGGTCCAGTGACGAAGCCAGAGGTATTTCACATGGCATTTCAGTAGTCCACTAACACTTCTCATGCTCATGTGCATCGAGGAGTTGGGACAGATGGCTTCTAAGATGCTTGCCAGCTCTGACATGCGCAGCTTCCTTCCAGCACCACCCTCTCCAGGAAGTCTTCCCCCTGTTCCAGCTCTCACTGATCTCCCTTAGCTGACCCCTGAATTGGTACTGTCTTCAACGAAAACTCTTGGATTGCAAACCTCTTGAGAATGGGGTTTGTATCTTCTAATTCATATTCTCTACTGAATCTGGCCCAGAGCCGGGCCCATGGGCTATGTTGGCTGCCTAGGGCTGGGAGTCAAGAGGCCGAGCCTAGTTATGACTGTGGCTTACTGTAAGACCTCCAGGTCATAACACTATGGCCTCAGTTTCATCATCCACCCACTGAGTACAGTGATATACTCCCTCCTTACACGTGTGTATGGGGGGCAGGAGGGGGACTGTGAGGGGTGCAAGGAAAGGATTTTATGCTTCCTGGGGGAACCCTGCTTCCAGCCTGTGAGGACTCCGTATCTTCCTTTTCCCAAGAGGCCAAGATGCATATACTGCCTCCCTTCCCTGTACACAGGACCCAGCAGGGGAGAGAGGGAAGGGCTGACCCTGCCTTTCCCCTCAGGACTGCATGGCTGACGTCGTGACAGCAGACGACTCAGGCTTGCTTTGTGTCTGGCGGTCGGGCCCTGAATTCAAATTACTGACCCGAATTCCCGGATTTGGGTAGGTGAGGCGAAGGGGCTGAGGACTTCCTGAAGCAGCTGCAGGGTGGGGAGTGGGCTTGGGCGTGGGGAAATCCAAGTGGGGCATTGCCCTTGCAGGGTCCCATGCACTTCCGTGCAGCTGTGGAAGGGGATCGCAGCAGCGGGCTACGGGAACGGGCAAGTGCGTCTGTACGAGACCAGTACAGGAGCTCTACACGTCCAGATCAACGCCCACGCCCGGGCCATCTGTGCCCTGGACCTGGCTCCGGAGGTGGGCAAGGTCAGTCTCCTCCACCCCTGCACACCCTGGTTCCTGGTGGGGGGATGCTGAGAGGAACTCCACAGGCTCGTCTTTGCCGCTTGGTGAAGCACTCCAACCTGGACCAGTTCGTCAGCACCTTCCGACTCCCACTCATCCTCCCTGCCTTTTCTTAACAGCTACTTTCTGCAGCCGAGGACACCTTTGTACACATCTGGAAGCTGAGCAAACGCACAGAGAGTGGCTGCACCGAGGTGGGTGTGGAGAGGGGGGCGAGGGCCAGCATGGGGCGGCAGGCCCTGAGCAGCCCTGTCTCCCCCAGGTGGAACACTGTCACGGTGAGTGTGTGCCCGACACTCAGGTGTGTGGCGCCCGATTCTGTGACCCCTCAGGCAGCTCCTTTGCTGTGACTGGCTACGACCTCGCTGAAATCCTGAGGTTCAGCAGTGAGTGAGAACAGAAAAGCCCTCCTTCCTCCCTGTGGTGTTCATAAAGTGCCTCCTCCACCTAGCCCGTGTCTAATTACTCAGGATCCAAGTCATCTTTCACAGCCGGCGAACTAAGCTCCAGGGGAGAGGGGACGGGGCAGGTCCAGGCCAAGCAGAGAGGCAACCTGATGTCAAGAACCAGGCGCAGGCTGCTGTTAAATAATTTTAATGGTTGGTGAAGGAGTCACAGGGAAGGTGTGTTCCCTCCCAGCGCTCTCCAGTGCCATCCTCAAAGCTGGTTAGTGCAGGAGGTAGGGCAGGGTTGGTTCCAGTTTTCTCCCAGGAAGGGTTTAGGGGGGTCCCAGCCAGCCCCGGGAATGAGTCCCTCAGCACCATGACAACCATAGCTTAAGAGGGGCTTCGGCTCCCCATCCCCCACCTACCCCCAGTCCAGCTGAGGAAGGGAGGCCACTGGCCAACCTGCTGCAGACAGCACCGTCTCCAGAGCCTAGGCGCACAGGTCCTCTCCTCTCCTGGCCAGATCCTGTTGCCAGCACCTTCCTCACACTGGTGACTGGAGCCAAGTGCGGGGCGAGCCTTTGCGGCAGAGGCTTCTAGAACGTGGGGATCGGTGCGGGGGGAGAGGGGCAACCAAGCGGGGAGCCTCGGAGGGGTGGTCTGGGGGCACAGCGTCCAGGGAGAATGTTCTGGGGCGCCCCCAGGGCAGGGGGTGGGTCCGAGCTGGGGCCACTGAGGCAGGCGAGCAGGGGCGAGGCAGGGCAGGCTGGTCTGCAAACATGGCTAGCCAGGGTGGGTTCGTCTCCAGCCTCACACCCTCCCGCTGGGCCAGGATGTCTGTCACTGCTGCGATGTCATCCAGAGGCTCAATAGCTGTGGCACCAGGAAGGGGTTGAGGGGAGGGGGCTAGTCAGAGCTTAGGCCCCAGGTCTACCCAGCCCTGACCATCACCTGTCACTGTAATAGGAGGAAAGCAAAGCCCGGATCTCAGCCGAGACTGCATTATCCTGCAGGAGCAGCCCCTCACCTAGGCCCCCTGGAGCTCCAGGCTCTGATAAGACTATGGGATACAGCAGGCAGGGTGGACACAGATTGGGAGTGAGGATGTGGGTGAAGACATCAAGAGAGAGAAGGAAAATGAAAGCAGTGCCAGGCAAGTAAAGGTCAGAGGAAAAGAGAGGAATCCGCATGCAGAAAGGGAAACAAAAAAGAAGAAATTAGGAAGGAAATCCATGAAATGAATCTGGTTCTTTGGGATTTTGTTTTGAACTTCAGTGGGAGTGGTTCTGAGGTCAGAGGAAAGAAAGGGACACAACAGGACTCGGTGGGACCCGAGTCCCAGAGCTCTGCCTCCGCCCAGAGTGGGCCTTCTGTCTCTTTCCATGGTCTGGGTTCCCGTGACGCCTCCAGCCCCACTTCCCTTCAGCTTCCCGGAGTATACTTGCACTCACCCATCTCATGGTACAAGGACCTCTGCTTGGCCAGTGCTTGGGGTGGTTTCCGGGGAGCCGGGGTTTCAATTTTCATGATTTCATCACAGCACTGCTTCCACTGGCCTGAAGGGAGAACACTGATTGGGGGTGGAGAGGGAGAGGACTGAGGGCCAGGCTACCCTCTCCCCTGCTACATTTCCTTCCACGTATTCTTGAAACAGAGGCCTACAGTAAGAAATCACAAATGCCAGTTCCTCCCAAAAGTTTAATCCAGCCCCTACTCTTACTCATGTCGAAGAAAAGCTGCCACAGAGCCTCCATCCAGCTCTGCAGGGCTCCCCGACTCTCTGTCTGAAGGGTGTGTGTCACCTTGTCCTCCCCATATTGGTTACTGATGCTCAGAGTGAAGGGCCGGCCTGTGGTCTGGTCCAGTTCCCCTGCCTGGACTCGAGTATCCTGCAGGAGAAAAAAGGCGTCCGCTTCCAACTCCACGTTGTTACAGAGGTCAGCAGTGACTTCAGGCGGGCTTGATCATCCTGCCTTAGAAAGAGGAGCGTGCCCTAACCGGTTTGGCTCAGTGGATAGAGCCTAGGCCTGCAGACTGAAGGGTCCCGGATTCAATTCCGGTCAAGGGTACATGTAGGCTTGATCCCCAGTAGGGGGTGTGCAGGAGGCAGCTGATCAATGATTCTCATCATTGATGTTTCTCACTTCCTCTCTGAAATCGATAAATATGTTAAAAAAAGAAAGAAAGAGGAGCTTGTGGGGCGTTCACCAAGCCCTGTCATTTGCATCCTACTGAGCTGAGTGGGAAGGAATGGCCGGAAAGGATTGGGGATGAGACAGATGGCCTTTAGTCAGGGATAGAGGCACATAGAGACAGGAAAAGGGTGGGCAGGGGAAGGCACAGAGGCTGGCAGGCATGCTGAGGCCTAATGTCCCTCACTACTTCCTCCATAAAAGTCAGCAGGAAAGCTAACAAAAGGGCTGGTGAACAGAGGGGGCACTGAACTTGGCCTGGGAGAGGAAACCAGGAAAGGATGGAGTAGATGCAAATGAGAATCTGAGGGGGAAGATGGAAGGTGGATGAAAAATCCTAGACTGGTTATAGAACCCTCTCTGAGAATTGGCTGAGGCTGGTAACTAGAAGGGACAACCCTTTTCCAGTGACGCTGGTCAGGGAGAATGGTCCCCTCATCATTCCTGGCCCTGGAGTTGGGTGGTGCAGTGAGGCCCAGAAGACTTGGATCTCTCTAAGGTCTGCACCCACCCTGGTGGGACCTGAAGGGGAGGCTCCAGGCCCAGGCACCTGGTAGCTTGACCATCAGGGGACCCATCACCTTGTTGATCGCAATAGTAAACAGCGGCTCTTTCCCAGTGTCTGCATCCTCAGGTTGCCGGTAACAGAAGAGGTTTGTGCCTTTCAGGACTCCGTGCACTCGTGCCCAGTCCTGCCGCTCCCCAGCTTGCTGCATAGATACTCAAGGTTTCCTGGGGGAATCACACCTCCCAACACCCTCTTCCCAGCCGTCCATCAAGAATCTGCCCCTTTCTGCGCCGCCCCCCTGTCTTGCCATCCCCTCGTTCCACCCAGACCTTGGTTTTTCAGTTCTAATTCCCAGGTGACCCAGCTCTCCGCTGCCTTCTCCGCGCTCCCTTCCACTCCTCAGGGGCCTCACCTGCACCCTGAGGGAGCCACTGGCAGTCGGCTGCGTCATGCAGAGAGGCTGAGCCACCAGGCGGCAACACACGCTGCCATAAAGGGGCAGCCAGGCAGGGTGCTCCTCTGGGCGAGAGGAAGTGCAGAGAGCGGGTAGAGAATGAGAAGGGGGTCATCCAAAGGCCCCTCTTCCTACCATCCAACGGCCCCTCTTCTCACCATCCAGCGTGCTCCCCCCACACAAACTCACCATGGCTGGCGAGAGTGAGGTCATGTGTGCGGAACCCATCTTGCACTGCTGCCAGGGTGAGCGTGGTGTGAGCCAGGAGGTGGTAACGAGGACCACTGCGGGACAGGCAGAGAAGTGGGCCTCAGCCGGGTGAGCACGTGAGGGCCGCGTTAGACGGCAGGAGCTATAGTGCTGAGCAGCTCTGCCCCGTTGTTCAGAGAGCCACACAGAAAACCAGCTTGCCTTCCCCACGGGAGTGGGGAACATTCACTGCGCTTCTGCCGAGCTCCAGGTCCTGTGCTTTTTACATACGTTGTCCTCCTGTATTCCCACCACAGCCCCGGGAGGTGGGTGGCATTCTTTAGTTAATAGATGAGGCAGCTTGAGGCATAGAGAGGTTTAAAAATGTGCCCATAATCTATAGCCCATAGGTAGGTGGTGGAGCTGGAGTTTGAACCCGGGTATGTCTCCAAAATCAGCATTCTGTGCATTACTCTAGATGTTCTCGCATTGCTCCTCAGGGGCCCAGGATTCCACAGGTGCTTCCAGACTCCTGGAGACACCGCCACAGAGCGGGCCACCCTCCTCCAACAGGGCACTCTGTTCTATCCACATGAATGCCTCTGCTGCAAAAAAAGTGAAGACCCAGAGCCTAGCTCTCCCTGCACTCCTGTTGGTTATCAGTTGGCTTGGGTCTAGCTCTGAGTGCCTCCCATGTGTCTGTCTACATCCTGGCTGCAGTGCAAAGTAGGTTCTGCAAGCTCCCCACTGCTCAGAGGTCACCTGTGGCCAGGATAGACATGTGAGGGCAGTGGGGGAATGCATGGCCTTACCTCACAGCCGGGGTGGGGAGCAGGACGGGACTGCTCGCTGAACCCCCAGCACTCTCCAGCGATGCCCTGACACGCCTCCCAGAGGAGCGACCCAGGGAGCTGCTGAGTTTGGTGGCAAGCCTCTTGGGGGCACCAGCCAGGGCCCCCTCCTCTTCCATGCAGGCCCCATACAGCTCCAGCCGCAGCTTGAAGTCTGGCCCTGCCTCGGTGCTGTAGGAATGTGGGGAGAAGAGAGGAGGATGGTCCTGGGGAAGTCCAGGGAGGCATGAGGGAGGGATGGGGGAAGGATGGATGTGGTATGAGTTCAGGACAGCTCCACTGGGAAGGCCCATCTCCCTTCCTCCCTCTCCTCCCCTCCCCTGTAGCTACCTCACCAGAGCACTGGGCAGAGTGGAGAGAGGAGAGCCACACAGATGAGGTACTCACAAGAGCAGATGGTTCTGAAAGGAGATGTCCGTGAGGGTCCTGTCCACCAGGATCATCTCTGTGTCCTGAATGTCCTCCCCCAGCTGCAACAGCAGGAACACAGCCCAGCGGTGCAGATCTGGGGACAGAGAGGAAAACCCGTTTGGAGAAAAGTGCCCCACAGGAGCTCTCAACCTCAGGGCCACTCCCCTAAGTGTGTCCCAGTCTGTGTGACTCTCACCGCCTTTGTTCTTGAAATACTCCGTGTCCTTCCACATGAGTGGAATCCGGAGGTCTAAGGGGCAGAGGGGTAGGAACAGATGTTGAGATGGGGCAGGAGATGTCGTGGCTGGGCAGGGAGCGCCAGGGCTGGGGCAGTTGTGCTTCTTACCAGAGATGCAGACGCGGCCTCGGCAGGGGGAGCGCTCAGCCAGCAGCCCGCCGTCAGAAGGCCTGTGGGCAAATCACAATGTCCCAGTCTGGCCTTCACACACTACCCCCCTG